AGAAGAGCACGGCGCGGGCGGCTCTGCTCGCGGACGCGGCTCGGGCCAGGGGGCGCTGCGGGCCTACGGGAGGCGCGCCCCGGGCGCAGCCACGTGGGACACCTGAGCGTCCCTCCCAGGAGACTTGGAGGGCGGCGCAGCCGCAACCCGCCAGAGTCTAGGCTCTCTCGCACCGGAGGCGCCTCGCCCCTGGCGCTTTGCCGGCGAAGGGACAAAGTACCCTACTTACTTCTGTGCGTGTCGCCCACACCGAGCTGTGCCGCAATGAGCCCCGTGCTGTCAACTCCGCAGGCTTTATTGTTCCATGAAAAAATGTTGACTTTGGCATCTTTTGTTTCCCTGTCTGTCCTATTATTGCAGTTGGATGGTAAGTGGGCCTTTTGGCCAGCATCCTCGTTTAAGTCTAGTGGGCACCTGATTTTAAAAAAATCAAACACCACCAAGCACAATGCCTGGCGCAATGCTTTATACATAACTCTCAGTGAACGTTGACTTTTATTGCATGACCTACACTTTTCATACTCCATCAAAACAGTGTCACCAGGTAATGTGTGCTCATGGCAAAAGAAGAGAAAAAAATACCAGTAAGTTATACCAATTCCAGAAATAATCACTGTTAACATTATGGTGTATGTTCTTCCAAAAATCATTCGACTTATATAAAAATTTACATATTTTTAGTTCATTCCATACAAGCTGTACTAGATTTTCCACTTCGCTTTTTGAACATCTATGTTTTAATGATCTCCATTCTGTTCTAATGCACTTAACTTGTTATTGTTGAACATTAAACTTCCCATTTTGACGATAAAATTATATGTCTTTGTGCTTTTGCCCAGTTACTTTCTTGCAATAAACTGCAAGAAGGTAAAATTTTAGGATACAAGGCATATACAATTGAAACCTTTGATGCATGTGACCAAATTGTTCTCTAGGACGACTGACCTGTGTCCTCTTCCATGTTACTCCCCATTATTCATCAAATGTCAATCTAACGAGCAAATTAACTATTTTTTTGTTTTCACACCATTCTTTTTTTTTTTTTTTTTTTTTTGAGTTGGAGTCTCACTCCATCGCCCAGGCTGGAGTGCAGCAACACGCTCATAGCCACCGCAGCTTCAACCTACTGAGTTTAGATGATCCTTCTTCCTCAGTCTTCCAAGTAGCTGGAACTACAGGTGTGCGCCACCATGCCTGCCTAATTTTTGATTTATTGTAGAGACGAGGTCTCGCCAAGTTGCCTAGGCTGGTCTCGAACCCCTGGACTCAGGCAATCCTCTCACTTCCACCTTCCAAAGTACTGGGATTACAGGTGTGGGCCACCGTTCCTCCCAATATTGACAGCTTCCAGTGAAAGTGGCCCATGGTAACTTTAATGTTGCAAACCTCATTGAAGGGGAGAAAAAAAAAAAAAGACTTTATTCATTTCTCCCAGTAACATTTACTGAGCAGCCAACTGGAATAGGGATCTGTCAGGACTAATTTCTCAAAACGAAGGTCACAAGGCTTGGACTTCACTGACAAGGCAGGAGTGGTGAAAAGACTAGCCAAAGACCAACTAAGACTAAGATGGCATTGAAAGCCACCTCTGCTTGTCATGTTTGCTCGTTATACACTAATTATAATGCATTAGCATGGCAGAAGACACTCCCACCAGTGTTAAGACAGTTTACAATTACCATGGCAACTCCTGAAGTTACCCTACATGGTTTAAAAAGGGGAGGAACTTTCGATTCCAGGCACTCCCTGCCTCTTTCTTGGAAATAATCCACCCCTTGTTTAGTACATAATCACGAGATAGCTGTAAAAAACTGAACCCTAGTGACAAATGACTGTTGTTCTTCTTTTAGACCAACCCAGGCTGCTCTGCCTGCGGAGAAGCCTGTTCTCTGTCATTTTATTAAAACTTTATTTTTCAACTGAAATCCTAGAAATTACACATGGGCTGCTCTGCTTATCGATCCATTTCTTGAATAAACTTACTTTTTGTCTCCTATGTACGGCTTACACTTGAATTCCTGCGTGAAGCCAAGAACCCATCTAGCCTCTCGGACTAAATCCCAATTCTGGGGTTCGCCTGCATCAGCACCAGAGCAGCATACAAAATTCACCAGCATGTTATCCCTGCAGGAGAACTGGTCTTGAGGTCTAAATGCCAAGGGAAGGATGTTCTCTGTCTTGAGATCAGCGCTGTCCCAGAGAAATGTAATGCATGACACGTGTAATTTTAAATGTTCTAGTGGCAACATTTTTTAAAAAGTAAAAAGCTGCAGCCGGGCTCGGTGGCTCAGCCTGTAATCCCGCGCCTTTGGGAGGCTGAGGTGAGTGGATTGCCTGAGCCGCGGGTTCGAGACCCGCCTGGGCAGCGAGACCTCATCTCTGCAATAAATCAAAAAATCAGCCGGGCATGGTAGCGCGCGCCTGTATTTCCGGCTACTTGGAAGGCTGAGGCGAAT